ACAACTCGGAATACAGCCATCTTCAGACTCACCGCAGTGAAAACCTCAAATCCTACAAATCCATCTACATTAATACTTGGAACAAATGAGTTCATAACCACCTTACGTCCTTTTCTGTAAGAACTTGTAATGTAATTAAAGTCCTTATGGTAGAAATCACGTTTCACTAACACTAAAAGTAACAAGGTAACAATAATCGGACTCTCCTCCTCAATATTTCGCATTTTGGAAAGCAGACGAAATTAAGACAGTGTTTTAAATGAATAAAGAAACATTCGTTGTATGTCCTCCGTCACTACGTCCTTCCTAAACTAACCATGCAACATGTCAAATCAGTGTCAACTTTAAGGGAGAGTTCAATGCCCGGGCGGGAGTTAAAAGAGACATTAAGATTGTTCGAATGTTATATTTACGAAAAGTTTACTATTCACGGTTCCTTCACGTCACTTCATTTAACGACAGACAACATTTCAAAGATGTTGCAAATTTTTTCTAGAACACGATCGCATTTTATTTGTTTTCGAGTACAAATGACTCGCTGTTTCCATGAACCACGGTCCAGTTACTCAGCAACACAGGTGGTCTTTCAAAAGAGACCCCAATCAGACTGAACTATGTCACACAGTTCCATCCTATTGAAAACTTTCCTTGTCCGTTCCAGACACATTGTGGATTGAGGACATTGCACAAAAGCACAAAACAAGCTAGAAAGGAAATAGAAAGTAACGATGTTGTACAATAAAATCATTAAAAAGAACTGTAAATACATTTTGTAAATAAAAACAAAACTTCTTAGAAGAACTTAAGGTGTCTGGTTTCCTTTATTTTGCTGTCATCAGAGAGGTTTGAAAGAGTAAAAACAGCAACAACATTTCTGATACGAAAGATTTGTCAAAAATAACGCCAAATATTAAGATGGCTGTCTTCCGGGTTCATGCGCCATATAATCTTGGCAGAAGTTCACCGACGTTTCAGATGTACCCGCTACCTCTATCACCAGAGCAATGTTAACAGCAAGCACATCTGAAACGTCGGTAAATTTCCACCGTACATGACACAATAACGTAAAAAAGACAGCCTACAAGCCTTCTCCATTCCTGTTCATTAACCAACAAAAATACTTTGCAGTATGGCGTATTATAAAGTTGCTTAAATATCAAGCAGCCCTAAACACGGCTACTACACTGAGCCAACTGAGGATTAACTTCCGTAACTACTAATATTTTAGACATTGATACACTCCTTCGAAGGGGCACAGCCCATCGCACACCCGACTCAGAGATTCAAAAATAAGCGAGGGGGGCTCGAACCCACAAACCCAGTGTTGGAACGATCCACGCAGCCACTGTAATCGCTTCTCCAATATCTTATTGCCCACATATACAGGGTGAGTCAGAAGTATGTTTACAAACTTCGTGTGCGTGTTCCTGGATCAAAAATAAGGAAAAATGTTCCTATGAACATGGGGTCGCAAATGTT